GTAAAGTGACAAAGACAGAAATATCGTTGCGTACAGCGTTGCCACTAGTTGTAATAAATATCTAACACTATACAGAAAATAATGAATTTTAACTGATCAGTAATCAGGAAATGTATAAGTATTACTCATTACAAGCTCATTACTGATTTTTGTCATAAATAATACCTTTTAATCGTACTAGTATTGTGTATTATCTATAATTTGCCACAACCTACAACTCTACTGCTTACTATATTTTGATTCTGCTATAAACTGGTAACGTAAAATTTACATATGACAACGCGCTTTACTCTCAATCATTATTGGTTTTACTATAGTCTCCATTCTCGCAAGTACTAGGCCTGCCCTCTGCCTCATATAAAAGCGCGCGCGCCATCCAGCCAGTGATGTTGTTCGACGATAGTAGGAAAACAAGTGAATTTAGTTAGCGACTAGCTAGGTAAAATGCTGTACGTACTGTGGTGAATACTGCGAGTGGTGTCATTAGCAAATTTTTAATACTCAATTCTTTACTTCGTCATTTTTGAAGACAAAATTATATCGGAAGCAAAACAGAAGAAACGGCGGTATAGCGCGGAATATATAAAATATGGATTTATTGAAAATCCCACAAATCCATCTTCCCTATGTGCCTTCTTTGTCAAAGAACATTTTCAAATGAAGCGATGAAACCCCTCGAGGCTACAAGTTCATTTGAATAAAATGCATTCAGATGAAAAAGACAAAAGTGTGACTTATTTTCAAGAAATGGAAAAGAAACACTCAGCTCAGCCAACAGTGCCAAAATTTTTTTCAGCGGCGTCTGAGCAAGACGACGACAGGTGAACCTCACACTATTGGAGAGTATTTGATTTTACCGGCAATTAAAGAAGTAATAACTACTATGCTTCATAAACCAGCGGCAGATATTATCCGAAAAATTTCTTTGAGCAATAGTTCCGTGCAAAGACGAATTGATGAGATGACATTGTGCAAACATCTGAAGACTTCTAAATTCTCAATTCAGTTAGATGAGTCCACTTTACCAACCAACGAAGCATTGTTGTTGTCATACGTGAGTTTTATTAAAAATGAGAAAATATATCAAGAACTACTATTCGCCAGAAATTTAGAGACGGACACAAAATGAGAAACCATATATAATACACTGGAAAAATTTTGTGACAAGAAAGAAATTTCACTGAGGAATATTATATCAGCTGCTACGGATGGCGCTTCGGCTATGACAGGACGTCACAAAGGATTCACAGCATACTTAAAAAATAAAATTCCAGATGTGCTCGCTGTACATTCCGTCATCCATAGGCAACATTTGGTTGTTGCGAAAAATTTGAGTGAGCGCCTCTCTCAATCACTGCAATATATCACCAAAGCAGTCAATAAAATCCGAAATAGCTCTTTAAATGACAGATTATTAATCAGCTTTGTATTACTAATGTTTTGTATTGTATTGTATTGCTAATACTTTCAAATACAGATCTCGAGCTTGAGAGTTACAAACTAACAAACAAACATACCTACATATAGATGAAGCTAATAAAAGCGTGTTAGGAAAACGTGAAAATTAAGCGAAGCTTTAGAGCAACAAATTGAACAATTTGTAGTGAATGTGATCAATAGTGACACGTCTTCTGACGAACTAGAATTGCAACAGTAAATAAAATAATTTTTACTCAATATAAATATTTGTATTTCTTTCGCTCGGAAGATTGAAAATGCTATTTTCGTGTTCATTCTCAATTTGAACCCGAATAATTGAATAAAACCATAACGACCAACAAACCCATTTGCATGTCATTAAAATTTTAAAACCGTTCAGACAATGTACCTTGGTATTTACAACTTACTTATGAACATATTGAAAAAAATACTGACAAACATCTCAATTTTTATTTTTCATTTTTTACACGCTTTTATTAGCTTCACCTGTATGTATGTATGTTTGCTTGTAACTCTCAAGCTCCGGATCTGTATTGACAAAATCATCGGCATTATTGCTTGATCTATTCGCGGGCAGATGGCGCATGTATTTCTTCATTTAAAAAAGGATTTTTTTTATTAACACGTGCGCCTGCTGCTTTAATTGTAATCCTCTTTTGCGCGCTTGCTGCCTTGGGCTTGGTAGCTGATTTTCACGCTCTCTCTCCGGAATCGGAAAATATCAATGGTCATTTTTCTAAACAATATACGGCTGATTGATCCCAAAGTTCAGATGAAATAAATATAGTTTAAAAAGACTAAAAAACGCGCTTTTATAGCATACGAAACTAAAAAAAATAGTTAAAAAAACTAAAAAAAAACACGCTTTTAAAGAACATCGAACTAAAAAGTTAAAAATATATTTTTTTGAATAAGCTTAAGAGAATAACGAACGGAAAATACTAGTATTATTATGGAAAATACGTGGGCGCTTTGTGCCACAGTTTTTGTATATCAAGCGCCCGATGCTTTTTTCACAATAATATTAGTATTTCTCGTTCGTTATTGTTTT